GTACTTAAGAGCTAAACAACTTGAATTTAATAATGTACTTATTAAAGATCCATTTAACTATGGAGTTATAATTATGCCTTTAGATGCTCTGTCAGCTTCCTGCCACTCTAGGTTTTTCTAAGACACTTCTAATTTCTTATAATTATTTTAATGCGGTAATTTTGGAATAGTTTTATTCATTTTTCTAAGATGTGATCATGAAACAGCTTTTTGGTCCTGGTGGTGCATTTTTCTTAAGGTAGCTCGCGATACTGATTTTATACTTCTCGAGAGGTGTATGAATGAACTGAATCAGAAGTCCTCATTCTTTCACTTCTTAAACTATTATTGGATGCCAACTGTGAGAGCAAACCCCAGTACCAGTCCTGAATAACTCATATCTTGATTTTTTTTGAGGAATTCAGCATATCATCTCTTTATCAAACCTTTAACAGAAGATATTTCAGGTTGGCTCAACTTAGGTCTCAAACTGGATACTTTAAAAATTTTATCTGTTGTGTCTTAGACTAGAGACTCAAAAGAAAGATGGAAATTCCCCCAACCGCATGCAGATACCCAGATGTACCTGAACTTGTGCATGTATTTTCAGTGGTATGCTGGCCCCCCCAAAGCCTGTTGGGATCCGTAGGTCCCAGGATGGGACTGTTGCTGAGCGAGTCTTCCATTTTGGCTGCAGTGTGTGTTTAGAGAGGCACTAGCAGATAATTCTGGGCCGGCCACTCGGATGGAGGTTCCTGAGACCAAGATGGGAAGCCACTGAAAGCTGCTGGGGAACCTGGCTTTCTATCTAGAAATAGTATAAAATACTATTGAAGGCCCAGAGACTGGGGTTTGAAATGGAGGTTTGGGGACTTGCAAAATCTGGACAAGCAACACTCAGGTTATAAACAGAGGTAAAAAACAGGAACCAGGTAATGACTGTGAAAGAGAAAGCGATCTTGTGAAAATCAGATCACTAGACCGTCTTGACTTCCTTCCTGGACTCCAAACCCCCTTGGTTTTCCTATAGTTCTCACATCTGTCACTCCCCCCGTGGCGACTCAGCTACTGGGCATCATTGAAGAAGCACCCACTCAAAGCAACGGATACGGATACCAATTTTTTTTAAGATTTTATTTATTTGAGGGCGCCTGGGTGGCTCAGTTGGTTAAGCGACTGCCTTTGGCTCAGGTCATGATCCTGGAGTCCTGGGCTCGAGTCCCACATCGGGCTCCCTGCTCAGCGGGGAGTCTGCTTCTCCCTCTGACCCTCTTCCCTGTCGTGCTCTCTATCTCCCATTCTCTCTCTCTCAAATAAATAAAATCTTTAACAAAAGATTTTATTTATTTGAGAGAGAGGAAGAGAGAGCACGAGCTGCTAGAGAGGGAGAGGGAGAAGCAGGCTCTCCTCTGAGCAGGGAACCCGATGTGGGTTTTGATCCCAGGACCCTGGGATCATGACCCGAGCCAAAGGCAGACAACCGAATGGGCCACCCAGGTGCTCCATGGATACCATTTAAAGAGAATAACTTCCAAATTCAGCATGGTTCCAGAGGCTGTTCGCTTGTTCCGTTCAGGTTCTTCTCCTTCCTCACTGGAGCTGGTTTTCTTCCCTTTTCTCCTCAGCCCCTCTGCAGCCCAAGTTTACTCAAAGTGTCCTCAATGTTTACCTTCCTCCCCTCAGCCCCCGGTCTCCCACTGCTGCTGGATTAAGCTCCCTGAGGCAGCCCCCATCTGATGTGTGGTGACCTCCATCCACACTTTCGTAATGAAGTCTTCCAGTGACTAATGATAGTTCAGAATAGAGTCTTCCGGTGACTAACGCCTACGTATGTACTTTTGATCCCACCTCCCCCTCTCCTCCCTGAAAACTCAGCCTCCCTCTCCCTCCCCCTCCCCTGGCGGCTCAGCCCACCGTCCACATCCAGTCTCTCCTCCCGCATCTGGGCAGTTTTCCCTTCAGTTCTCTCCATCACCCTAAGACGTGAAATCCAAACTTCCAAAGATACTTTGCCAAAAAACTGCATTATTTGGCATGGAGCCACCTCCCATCCTCTTCTGCTGCTTCCTTTTCTAATCAAAGTCTTTTTTTTAAAAAAAAATGTAAAGTTTTGGGGCATCTGGGTGGCTCAGTGGGTTAAGTGTCCGACTCTTGATCTCAGCTCAGGTCTTGATCTTGGGATTTTGAGTTCAAGCCCCACGTAGGGCTCTACGCGGGGCGCGGAGCCTCCTCAGGCCCCACGTAGGGCTCTACGCGGGGCGCGGAGCCTCCTCAGGCCCCACGTAGGG